TTCAACTCCCAGAATTCCCCAGCCAGCTGTGCTGGCTGGGGAATTCTGGGAGTTGAAGTCCCTCCCGCCTTAAAGTTGCTAAGGTTGAGAAACACTGATCTACAGAATAAGAGGTGTCACTATACACAGTGACAACTTTACCATTTTGCGCTAAGCAAAGAAAGGTCTATATCTTACGTGTGTATATATGCATACCTTTGAGTCAGTCTTGACTCCAAGCCCCTGCAGTTTTCTTGCCAACATTTTTGGAATGGTTTGCCACTTCCTCCTTCCTGTGGATGAGAGAGTGTGACTGGTCCAGCTGGCTTCATGCTGAAGTGGGACTAGAACTCACAGTCCCCTGGTTTCCAGCCTAGTGCCCTTAACCACCACACCAAACTGGCCCTCATGCAAAACCTTCTGGAAAATGCTAGATTTTACAGCCAGATGTACATACAAGGAAAGAAGCCAAAAAATGAATTTCAAGCCACAATTCCAGTGAGAACAAAAACGAGACACACCTTTGAAAGTTATCTGCTACTAATGGCTTTAAAAGTGGGAGGCAATAAAGTATCGCTCATTAAGAGAAGCTGAATGGCAAAGCAGCATGACGAAGGCTTTAGGTAGAGGTTGGACAACTCACAGCAGATTTCTGAGAAGGAGGACAATGGAATCGATAACCAATAAACCCCAATCTCTATTATCCATTTGCACAAGTTATTCTGCTTGTCACAGGGAAGAGTCAGCAAGCAAACCCTAATCCACTACCTCTGAAAACCTTACCCAGCCACCTGCTTGCACGTTTTCAGAGATGTGCATAAGAAGCTGAATTTAACATCTGAATCCATCTGTGGTTCTTCTAATGCACAGGAGCCTTCCCTGTGTATTTGTACTAAAATATTCACGATTGTAGACCTTAAATATCTGGAGGATACTAAATTAAGGAAGCCTGCTCTAGCAATTCAGAACCACACAAGTTGTCCATACTGCTAACACCAAATACAGTACTTCCAGTTTATTTTATTTATTTATTTCATGTATTCAGGACCCTTCTTTTTTCACTCATGTATAAGCAAAAAGGAGCAAGCCAGGTTCTGACCAGAATATATGTACAACTGTTATACTAAAGTTTTTCATGCATATGATTCCCTTGTGCATAAGTCTTGTTCCTACCGCCTACCCAATGGACAAGGTTGGGTGGGGAATGGAAGAGAGAAGGGAATGAGACCTGACATTGCATACAAACGGTGGGAGGGTCTCAAGCTTTGCTCCCACCCACCCAATTTTGTACTCCAAAAACTAGAGATGGAATAGACCTCAACTTATAAAGCAAATTTTCTTCCAACAGTGCTAGAATTTTCTTAATTATTGCAGATCTGTATGAAAGGAAGATGCATTGGAGAGCAAAGGGGTGGAAAGCCACAGACAGTTACACAGTACAGTAACAACGGTAGTTTTACAAGCCGAACAAAAATCATTATATTTTTGACAAACATCAGCACCTCAATGCTACAGGCTCAACCTGAACATGACAATCAGATTTCCTAAAAAGAACTATTCTTTTTCTTCCCTGGGGGGGAAAAAAAAGGTTTCCTTTCTCTGGACACTCCTCCTACAGTATACATAAAGCATAAAACATTTATTACCAGGATTAAGACAAACCAAACCGAGCAACAAAAACAAACATCTAAGGTAAACGGTTTTTGCCTGGGCAAGTGAAGTTAGTGTATGCATTGCTTCAATAATTAGTGTGTGCAATGCTTATGCAATGCTTAAGCCCATTTTTTTTGTTTTTTTAATATTCATGACTTAGCATTTGACAAGAGTAAACACTCACACAGAGAACATCAAACAGCAACCAAAAAAGCCTGTGGTCAACTGCCCAAATATTTAAAATACTTCTATATTACTATGTTTTTAAAAAAAACAACGGGCCAAGAAAGAACCACATTGATTTAAAACATTCATTTTCAAAATAATCCAAAATGCTCAGCAGGTTTATAGAGGCCAATCCTTGACAAGGATGCAAAGATGCTCTGCCTAATCACTAAAATTAACTCAATTTATCCACACAATACACGGAATCATAAACTAACCAAATGGGGTTGTGTCCATATAACATGCTAAATTACAAAAAAAACCCAGCCTCCTCAAAAAAAACAAAACAAAAAAACCACCCTAACCAAGGTTAACAATAACTAAGCTTAGCATACACTACAAATGCATATAGATTGTCTCAAGGTTTCCCAACCTGGCCAACTTCCAGATGTGCAGGCTTCAACTCCCAGAATTCTCAGCAAAGACCACACTGACTGAGGAATTCTGGGAGTTGAAGTCCACACATTTAGAAGTTGGCCAGGTGGGGAACCCTGTTTTAGGTCTTTATTTGATCTGGTTAAGCATGTTGTGTGAGCTTTGCCATAAGTGTGACAAGCTTAACTCTCAAATACCGGAAGGTTTCTTACCAAATAAACAATGGGTCAACCACAAGGATTATTTGCTTCAAAATTAAATATACATTCATATATCAGTCAAAGAAACAGCAAATGTCAACAGGTAATTTGCAACATCCTCAGGACTTTATATTTTCAGAAACTAAATGAGAGAGGGTCAGCATTCTTTCTGAATATATATAATATATAATCTATTTAGTGAGAAATTCAGTTTGGCTTTTCCTCTTTGAGACTAAATGAAGCTGCAGGTCACTTGGTCACAAGACAAAGAGGAATTTTTTGACTTCATTTTCTCTTTTCATATTATCTAGTAAAAAAAAAAAGATAATCTGAAGAACTCAGAAGCATGTTCTATTTTGTGGCTTTGTGGCTTACCATATTAAATGATGGATTTTATCAGAGCAGTAGGGGGTATGATTCCAGAAAGCTGCTTTGGAGCATGTGGCATCAGGAAAAGACGCAGCTGTTTTAAGGAGCTGCAGTAAGATGCCATAGTCATATTCTCATGCATTTGAAGCAGCTTTTCTAAATTATCTCAGAAATACTGCACAGCCCAAGATTTTATAAAAGAGGGTACTTACCTTTAGGTAATATCTGGCTGTATTGGGGCATTAAAGGTGGGATATAAATATAATAAATAAATAAACTATGTATGGAAAAATACACTAGACATGATATACCTTCTATAACTTGGAAGGGAATGGTATGTACAAGTAGCAAACAGAGGAATAATAATAATAATAAAAAAAAAACCACCTCATATTTCAAGCCACCATGGCTGTGTTCACACCTGTCCTGGGTCAGTAATAAAACTGTGACATAATCAGCTTAGGTAGGTATTTTGTAGCTTAGTTCATTACATTTGACTTGTTTAGGGCCCCATGTATTATGCAAACCTAGGAAATGGGCTAATTCAAGAAACCAGGTTGTGTGAATGCAGCCACAGGATTCTTTGGCTTGCTCAAGACGAGCCAACTAGCTTTACAGCTTTGAAGCTTACAACAAATACCAAAAATAGCACATTTCTGAATAAACTCCTGCCCCAGACTCTATATGCACATTGAATCTTTTGTGTTTACCTTCTTCAAAGCAACTCTACCAATTTGAGGCTCATTCACAGATTCCTAGTAGAAACCATGGAACAACTTGTAAAGTCTCCTTTGAGTCAAGCTTGAAATGGTGACTTCATGAACATGTCCAGAGAGTTTTCTTGGCAACAATACAGAAATGGCTTGCTTTTGACTTCTTTCAGGAGATTTTTTTCAATTTCTCCATCTATGCTACAGATTGGTTTACAATCTCCTTTACAGATTGAGTTCCAATTTACTTTACAGGCTTTCTTCATGATCCAAGTAGATCTCACCCTGCTAAGGACTTGGGGATCAGTCAAAGCTGATCTGTCAGCTTAATCAACTTTGCCCAGCCTAAAGATCACACACATGTACACACATACACAAATCTGTGATGGTGGGGTAGAAGGAATTTGTGCTTCGAGTGGAGATGGATTCTTCTCCAACTTTTCAAAGCAAGCATCCTCATTTTTTGAGCCTGAACCTAAGGACACTATTCACATATTCCACAGCAAAAATGAAACTCTGCTAGCTGAGTTTCAGTTGCCTCACTGATCCCTATGCAAACAGAGCTCGAGATCCCCACCCAGCCCAGCTCATTTTGCACACAAACACAACCCCCTTCAGCCTTTGGCCACACTGGAACGGTGAAAATGCACCCTAGGTTAGCTTCTCTAAAGGCTTGAAGGGACACAACGAACATCTCAGCAGAACCCAACCGTGTTGAGACTTCCTCGAAGCCAAATGTCTCTGCGAGATTTGAGTGAAAACCAAGAGGAAAAAAAGGAACGGGTTAATTTGGCAAAACTTAGTTACTCTGGATTGCAAAGCAAAACCCTCAAAGAAGAAGGGAATGGGGGGTGCAAAGAGGCAGAGGCAACCAATGTATGATTCCTAAGAAATCAAGCAGCAAAGCGGCGCACCATCCCGTTGCTTCTCTCCCAACCATCTCCTAAAATGCAAACCCAAAAGATACACGCCCCCTTTAAAATGTAGGGCCTGATCACCCAGTGGTGGCTCTGGGGGGCTCACAAAAGGGCACTGGTGAGCTGGCTACAATCTCTGGGCTACGCTTTTTGCACTTCTGGTCAAGTGTATCAGGTGGAAACATCTTAATAGGTGTTCCCCAACTTTCCTGCTCATTTAGGGAGCCGGGAGAAGACCTCCCGCAGCAAAACACCTCGGGGAGACTCCTCTCCTGGATCATCCTTCCAGGACAAAGCTACGCGGGTTCCCTTGGGTGGAAGACAGAGGCAACCTTTCTTGGCACGCTCCCCTCAGAGGGGGCACCCCTTCGTGCTGCAGCCCGAGAGAAAGTTTGCTCAGCCTAAAGCCAGCGGTCCCTCGAGCGCCGCACGCCGACGTGATCTCCAGCTCATCCGCCTGCCTCGGACTACGGCACCTTGCCCCAACCGGCTTCCGCTGGGAGGGTGGGCACCGCAGTCAGCCCATCCTAAAGAGGGGGGGGGGGGGGGGGG